GATCAGGCTCCCAACAAGCCTACTCTGCAAATGCTTATTTTTTTATTTAATTATTTTTTTAATGTGGCGGATGGCTAGTAAGCGCAAAAGGCAAGTGAAAGGTAATTTGCGTACATCCATCCTGCCTATGTTCATTCTAAAATTGGTGCTATGTACATATTCTGAATCCTTTACGTTGTACAGTGTTCTGCTGTGAATATCACTGATTATTAACCAGACACCAAACGTATCCGACCTATTGATGCAAATTACATCTGACTGACCAAATTAGCCGTATAATCGTCATTCCGCTAAAATTTGGTAATTTTTACTGAATTTTGTCTGTTACACTGAGAGAATTCAAGATGTCATAAGAGAATAGAAACTGTCATGGATCACTATAGACTGCTCATCTTTATCCTTTGACCTATTTTTCTTTTACCACCTATTGTACTGTATAGGTTCTCCTTCAAGACATCATAGTTTATCACACAACCTACTGCCTTCAAACACTTTTGCACGCAAGAGGCCACATTGGATATTTTATCTTGTCTTTCTAAAACTTTCTCAAACACAACATATAAACTCTGGGAGAAAAATTCAAGTTCACACATCGGTGCTCACCATCAATTGTAACACAGGAAACTGTGGTCTAAGCTTAGAGAATCAATCTTGGTGTTGAGGAGAGTCAAGGAGAACATTATTGCACATGTGGTGGGATTAAAAGCAACATAATACCATGCATACTAGAAATAGTCCACATCCCAATCTTTGGTACAATGCTTCTAATTCGTGTAGATTCCCCAAAATAAATTAAAAAAAAAAAAAACTATTTAGGCCCTGAATGCAGCAAAAATTCAATCTCTCTGGAGATCCTTGCCAATTGTGTTCTTGGAAGACAGTGATAGGGGACCTATTTGTACCATATCCTAAGCAATGAGCAAAGGTTGATATGTTGCTTGGAGGGTTGAATTTTAAGCTTACACATTAAAGGTCCCTTTGCTGCACTGATAGAATTCTACACATAGATTTGAAGATCATGGTCAGTGACCAGAAAATGCACAGCTGTGAGTCTCCTGTAAAATCCACTACTTTAAGCACCTAATTCATGTTTAACAGTAGTATCACTGTTTTACCGAACTCCAATTTATTGGCGGTTTGATACATATCCACCATTTTCCTCTACCTCATGTGCAGCATGGTGGACACTAATGAAAACGGTGTAAGAGTTTTTCTAATCTAAACCAGAATAGCTCCACCGGCATGTCTTGGATGGTGTTATTGTTCCCATGTAACCAGGGGACTGGTCATCCCATGCTCCACTGATGAATCTGTATAGGATCAGTTTGTTCTAGGTATTAGAACCAGAGGGCTTGGGGACTCCTGGAGACCATGTTATTTTTAGAACCAGAGGACTATGCATGCCTAGTGTTCTTGTGCTAGGGAGTTTGGGGACCCCTTACTCATCATTATTCATGAACCACCAACCCACAGACCACCAGCTGAAGTAATGGCTAGGGGAACCCTCACTGTAAAGATGTTGAAGAAAAAAGGGAACCATGAATTGAGCAGCAATGTTAATGAGACCTGAAGGAACCCCCAATTACCCATTTTTGGGGCAGAGAGACAATCATCAAGTTCTCATTAGTTTTCGAAATCCCTGATCATTTCCTTTTTTTTTTTTTGCATAATGAGGCCTAATGAGGTACTGATAGCTGAGATTGTCAGAGTCCAGTTGGTTTTCCATTTGTTTGTAACTACTTATACATTGATGTTTGTTCTAGCAGGCAAAACCGATCTTCTAGTTGAATCATTGTCTGCAGAAAATGCAATTATCACACGTAGGTTTTGTATGATTTTTAACATCTGTGGCAACCTCTCTGGTGATACAGGAGTTAATGGCTCTGCAACAATAGATAATGAATAGTGGATAAAAGAGAAACAAATACAACTTACCGTCTGTTATAGCCAAGAGGTAAATCTGGACTCTTATTGGTCTTTGAGGAATAGGTGCTGTTAAAATCCAAGAAAAATGCAATATGACACTCAAACAGTGCAAGTGTAGGGTTTCTCAAGCGTCACAAAAAATAAAAGATGAAATAAAGTTTGTATTATATAACTTTCATATAATATGTTTTAGGCCAGTGTTAATTTTGTCAACTAACAATTTTAGTCAAATTTTAGTCGACTAAAATCTACTGGCGATCTTGTCGACTAAAACTGGACTAAAACTAAAGTAATTCAAATGGCTGAAATACGACTAAAACTAAAATGGCTTTTTAGTCGAAAGAGTATGACTAAAACTAAATTGAAATGTGCCGCCAATATTAACACTGCACAGAGGGACTGTGAAAGGGGCAGAAGAGACATACCAGGGCTTGCTAGAAAGACACCTTGAGGGGCTGGGAAGACTCAAAGAGACACAGGGAAGCTGGGGACGGGGCAAAAGAGGCTTTAACTAAACCAATAAGATTTTAGTTGTGGCGACTAAAATCTATTGGCTGCCCAGTCAACTAAAACTAGACTTAAACTAAATCAATTCAGATGGCTAAAATACAACTAAAACGTCTTTTTATTCAAAAGATTATGACTAAAACTAAATGAACACTGCTTTAGACTAACTATATCCAGTCCACTTTAATTAATTTATGGGTATTAATACCTCAAGCATCTTTTCTTTGAGGTTTTGAATGTTTCAAATATTACACAGTCCAGATGCTGTATGAATTTTAGACTTATTTCCATAATATTCTCTTTGGTATAACACTAAGAAAAGGTTTTTTTACAGTAAGAGCAAGAAGGATATGGAATTCTCTGCCTGAAGAGGTGGTTTTGTCAGAGTCCATACAGATGTTTAAACTGCAATTGGATAAATACTGACAAAAACATAACATACAGGGATATAATTTCTAATTAGTGGGGTAATAGCTGCTTAATCCAAGGAGACATCTGACTGCTATTTTGGGGTCAAGAATGATTTTTTTCCTAGTTTGTGGCAAAATTGGAAGCGCTTCAGACTAGGTTTTTTGCCTTCTTTTGGATCAACAGCTAAAACATATGTGAGGAAGGCTGAACTTGATGGACGCAAGTCTCTTTTCAGCTATGTACTATGTAGATTAAATATGTAACAGATTGCAATTTTTTTAATTTGAAGCATATGCATTTATTTACTTGATATATTCTTTTTTTTCTGAAACAATACAGAAGTGTCAGGTATATAACATACATTTTTTTACAGTTCTGCATATTTACAAAATATAACCTACAGATATCATGTCAATGTAAGAAATATTTATTTCACAAAGATTATGAGAAATAAGTTTTGCATGTATTTTGTATAATTCAAATAGCATTTTTTTTCCTTTTTTTTTTTTTTCCAAAAAAACATTTTTTTTCTTTTTGTCTTACATCATTTTACCTACTCCCATGTTTACTACAGAACAAAAAAAAAAAAGCATGAAAATAATGTGTCCATAAAAACAAAATTTGAAATCATGTTGCAAGCATATTTACTATTTTAATGCATTACAGACACATGGACCAAGTGGTAAGGTTTTTTTTGCACATTTCAACAACAGACTTTATTCTGGGACATGCATGTAGAAATTATGATCATTTTTAGAGACGTAAACAAAATTCATTTTAATACACAAAAATATGGACACCTAATGTCTAGAACAAACATTTCCTGTAGAGGTAAAACTACAAATATTAACTTACAATTAAACTATCTTAACTTGCATTTACTCTTGACAATTATAATGTGTTTTCTCTGATCTAAAAAAAAAAAAAAAAGCCAAGTTCTGGTGTCAAGGAATCGTTTATAACTGTTATGCTGTCATATTAAAGCAGCCTATTGGTTTTGTTAAAAAAATCCTGAAACAAGAACTCTCCTTTTTTTTTTTTTTTTTTAACATATTGATTTGTATGGAGACATTGAGGAGATAGGGAGTGTCAGGGTATATTTATATACATAACCAATGCCTGGGTCTCTCTGTCTCCCAATATACTCAATATATCTATATAAGTGTATGCAATGTATGATCATGTACTTTAACTAAACCCCCATTATATTTCCCTAGGTGAGGGAGATGAGTGTTTTTAAATGAAACTATTACATTCTGTGAGACTTGAAAATACTGTTTAGTGAGCGAGTGAGTACACTGGATCTTGTATGTTGTATGTTATATATATATATCCCAGGGCTTAAAATTTCACACCCTAGGCTGCTAGCCAGGCATTAAAACTTACTTGCCAGTCCAAGCCTGAAGATCCATGGCATATTCATCAGGGATGAATTTCTACTCGCAGGGCTAGGACGATATATATAGCGACACATATGTAACCATCTGAATATCATGTTACCCATTATGCTATGGTCATTTTAGGCACATATTGACCCATCTTCACATTTAATTTTACAATTCAGAAGTCATTTGATGGACTAGGTATCCCATGTTTCATGCAAACCACTAGCTGGCTAAAAATGATGGGGAATGATGTACATAGTTAGTAAATAAAACATCTCCCTTTGTTACAATAGCCTAGTGTTCTGATAAAGAAAACTGATTTTATAGATTATCTACATTAATTTGTAACTAGGCACAATAGTTTGCCATTTTCTGAAATTGTCCACAGTCATATTCAAACAGGCATACAAAAAGGACACGGTAAAAAAAAGTCTGTTTTTGCTGTAAGAAATCAATACGGATGTAGCAAATTGCTTTTAAGCATTACATGTAAAAAAATTATTTTATTGTATTCTACTTAATATAAAATATATTGAATAGATTTAATTGTCCTTCGGATTGGAAAAAGTTGAAACAGAACAGAAATATTTTCTTTGTACATATACACATTACCATTTTCAGTAACATGTATAATATTGTCTTCCTGTAGTTTATATAACACATCGTGCTACTACATTAACCCTGTATTTAGGGTTGCTTTCTTTAGCTTAGTGTACAGATGGTTTCAGTATATGAATGGAGGAAGATTTATAAGCCTTTTTTCTTGTATATTCAAGAGCACCCACAGCGTTCTACCACCATTGCCGGTATTTTTCCATAAATGATTTGTTCATTTTCATTGAAATATAGCATATTTATTGGAGACATTCTTGTTGGGGTGCAGCATGGGCCTGCGGAGCCTCTTGGATTGGCATGTTGAATTATGTGAGTATGGGCATATTTTTGAAGAAACACAATTCCACATTCCCCAATGCAGTAGTTGGCTTTGTATCGTTTTGGTGCTATGATCCAGTCCCACCCAAATGCTTCAAAGTCCACTGTCAGTGGATAGCGGCAGCACCGAGATTCAGTAGAATGCTCATCACAGTCAAGACCAAAGTCGCGGCGGGACCTTTTTGGCGTATCCATAACTTTCACCTCTATAAAAGGACTCTGATAATAAAATAAAAAAAGCAGACAAAATGTATCAGAATATATATGCTAGTTTTCACATAATCTTTCTATTACAATACTTCTATTTTGTTATGTAAGCAGTTTAACAGAAAATAAATAGTGCATGTTCACATTCCCATCTAGCAATAAAAAAAAGAGTTGAGATGATGTTAATTTACCAAAATTCACTTAATCCACTTTAATAAAAAGAAATTCTAAAATATTAAAAGTTTTGTTACACTACATCTCACAGGTGAAAAACTTATGTTTCTTTTTAAAGTATAACTGAAATATTGATAGTGTTTGGCATAACTTGGATGGCACCTATCCAATCAATTAATGGGTTTAACTAATTCTGTCTTCATACTTCACCTACCAGTCCATCATCATTCGATCCACGGTGGGCTACTGGAACATCTTTTCCATTCTCATCAGTGGCTTTAATCTCGATGCCTAGGTTGGATTCTGGTTGTTTTAGCCAGTTTTGCAGAGCTGTTTTTACGTCCAGGCTTTTCCAAGTCCCAGGACCTGGACTTAGTTCAAGCTTCAGTGCTCTAATTCCGGTAGACCTGGTGCCATCATTCAATCCCTTAGCGAGTCTAAAGGTCTGCACAAATACTGTGGTACGCCTCTGTACTGGTTTTAAATATATCCACAGTTGAGCCTTTGCAATTTTGTTGTATTGCATTATTGAGCTGAACTTAAAGTAGCAACATTTTGGTTTGTCCGTTGCTAAGGGATCTGCTGTATAAAGAGAGAGAGAGAGAGAGAGAGAGTGTGAGTAAAAGATTTATCATAAATTAAAAAATCTGGATGAAGGTTTTTGCAAAATTATGCTTTTTTTGAAGTGTAAATTCAATCAAGCAATGCCAAATGATAAATGTACCAGTATGTAAACGGACAATCGAAGTACCATAACCATTGCAGATACTTATAGTGGTTATGGTACCAATAGTGTTTAGGAGCCGTTTCCCTGGGTTTGTGTTAAACTGTCATGGACAGAATACCACCCTCTTGCCAGAGCAGAGACAGTACGGGCCTACTCTGTTGGGAGCTGGAATGTGACAACACTCCAGCCCCAGCTGTGTGGAGCTGTGCAGTCAGTGCACTAGACATTGTAATGATTTATGATTGATTTATAATTAATAAACATTAAGTGTGTGTGAGCGTGTATTTATGTATGACTGTTAGTATGGGTGTGTATATGAATGTGTGTGTGTATAAGAATGTGTGTGTATGCTTCTGCATATGAATGTGAATGTCTGAAGTAGAATCTGTGTGTGAATATGTTTTTGTGATGTTTCCCTAACAATGGGAGTTATGGGCAAATCTCCATGGATTTTAGAACATTTTTTAACTTTTGTTTGCATTACCTACATAAATTGACCATTATGTTATACTTTATCAATTGACTGGAAACATGCTAGGTATAAGTTAACTCAAAGATTGAAAGCTCTTTTTAGCAGGGCTAGCTTCATCTCTAGCTATTAATAATATTCGGTGTCAATCACTTGTTGTCAAATACCACCATTCTATAATTGCAAAGCGCCATGAACTATATTGGCATTACATAAATGCTAATAATAATAATTGAAACAATAAATGATACGGTAAGTTGTCTTTTACCAAAACTGTGAATGTTGGGTATTAAAGGACTTTATTATTGATGTGTGAATTACTCTAAGGTTATCAAATGTTTATGAGATGCCAATTGTTAACATTATCAATTCAGCAAAAGGGTGAATCAAACATCAACAAATAGAGCGCACCAGCACACACAACTTCTAGTTACCTAATCAACTTTATTCTATAGCTTACACATGCATTAGGAAGGTGTGTTGCAATTAGTACATTGACACCATAAACCATAAACATTAAAAAATTAGCATAATTGAGTGTTGTTTTTTTTATTGGCTTCAAATTGATATTTAGGGATCTTCATTATTTATTAAACTGAGACTTTATAATTCATTCTAAAGAAATGAAAAAATATCAGTAAAACTCAGTCTTGTGTGCTTCTTGAAGTGCATCACTGAAGACTGAAAAATGATTCTTATTTCATTTTTGAAAATGCAGAAGAGGACCAAATTGTATATAGTTAGCACTTGCAGTAACACTTGTGATAAAGGTCAACAAGAGTGTTATTATTGGCTCAGGATTCCACTGGCTCGAGATTAACATCTGCTATAGAGTATATTCTATTAAGATTATTTTAGGAAAGGCAAGATGTAATTGCAAACAGCAACAAGTGCACAACATTATGACAAGCTATAGTGTTTGCGGAAGAGCTCAAGAATATTCTCGTTTCATGTATCCTAACATCTATTAGAAGGACACTGTAGGCACCAGAACATCTACAGCTTAATGTAGTGATTCTGGGTCAGAGATACTGTACCTTCAGGCTCAGCTGTGTAAACACTATCCATCATTTATATTGTTGCCTAATCCCAACTCTAGTGGCTATCACTTGGACAGCCACTAAAAAGTTTCCTGAATGCAGTCCTTCAAAGATTGCAGTATTGAGGTTTGACATCTCCACACTCTGCATGGAGATGCTGGACACTGCCTATAGAGATACATTGAGTCAATTAATCTCTATGAGGAGATGCTGATTGGCATAGCAATTGCCGCATATGTGCCTAGCCTCCCAATGCTTCCCTATGGTGAAAAATTGGATTGGCTAAGATCATTTATAATGATCTCAGCATGAGGAGAAGAGGCAGCCACTGCAAGACTTGAGAAATAAGATGAGTAAAAGATATATCTTTAACTTAAATAAGGGGGGCCAAGAATCCAAATAGTTAGTATAACTCGAGCATTAATAATACAAATAATTTAAATAAAAAGCATGTATTACAAGCATTACGTTCTACTTAGTGTTGTTACACCTTATGGTAAATTAATTAATTATTAGAATGTAAAGATGAGGTTTCCCAAAGGCATAATAAAATCTACTCTCTTCAACTCATACAACACAAGACAAGCCTTCAAAATACTGAATTATAGAATAATTTAGGAACCAGCATGTTTTATATATGTTTAAAAAAACTCTACTCAGAATTTAGCTTTTCAACATTTACAGTTCTCAATTTAAGGTAATGTGCATGCATATAAAAATGCTAAATTTGATAACTTTGTGGATGAAAAATATTTATATTGATAAATAATGATAAAGCAGTCTAATGACCATTGAAAGTACATTTGGACCTCTGACTACACTTACATATGAATTTTGTTTAGTGAATCAGTTTTATTATTATGTGGCTTAAAGCAGCAAAATGAGTATTTCATCAAGATCACATCTTTGTATTGACTGTGTTGGAACTCCACTGTAATTCCAACCTAGGCCAAAGATCTACAAAGAGGAACGGGTAGGGACTATTTTTTTCTATTTCATACCGCCATACTTTTTGACACTTGGTGGAACTACTGCTGTCAAGAAGTGTCAATTCTACAGGAGTGAAGCTGGCTCTTGACAGCAAAAGCATCAGGGGCAGAAGAGGACTGGCTGGAAAAAGCATAGTGGTGCCAACCAGGCACAGGTTCAGTTAACTCACCTTTGTCTGCCTCTTGATGAAAACATGTACAAATCAGTAGATTTGCATTTGGTTTCAAATGAATTGTGATACGTCAGAATTTTAGGGGAACAGCAATTCATTAAAATTCTGTGGTTATGACATAATCATGAAACAAATGAAACAAGGAAAGAATGAGCTGTTTTGTTTGGTGATTTAGAGATCCTCATATGGAACCAATGATTGAAGGGGAAAAAAAGTGATTAAAGACAGTGGACAGCCACTAAAGGTTAATTTTATTCATAGATCAAATGAGAAGTGACCAACAGAGGGGGAAAGTGGAGGAGTGGTTTACTTATATTTTCTACAGCACCGTGAGTCCCTTGGCTCTAGCTTTGGTGCTGGCGAACGTTCTGCCTCCCGCTATGTAATCTGATGGTCCAATCCAATAATCCACAGAGCAGCATTGGGGACTGATGCACATGCGCAGTGGGCTCAATACATGTATCATAATGCTTCCCACTGGAAAGTATTGAAATGAATGCTTTCCTATAAGCTGCATTTGGTCACACGAAAGAGTTTTACTTAGTCACTGCAGAGGAAGCTTATCTACAATAACTTACACTAGAGGTGTGTTTAACATATGTTTTACATTGCAGGGTTAAAATAACATGACCACTTTATTGAGATGAAGTGTTTTAGGGGACTTTAGTGGTACTTTAAATGTGTACCGATAAGTTTATTTCCTTTATCAGTTTCGTAATGTATGAATATTGTATTTATTCCAATACAAGCAATTTTCAGGTTAATTTCATATTCTCATAACATGAGTTAGACTCAAATAGCGGAACTGGGGAAAATAACTACAGCTCAGGGTAGTTGGGTAATTTTTGCCACTCTGCTGTTTTAACACAAATTTTGCAAATTGACTGTCAATTTACCACAACTCTTTAAGGAACGGATACCATGATAGAATTCCAAATTTAGGCAAATCGTTTATATAGTCAAATTACATTTCAGCTTCAGTGTAGTTACAGATTCGCTGTTATAGCCCACATTATGCAATATTTTCCATTTACTAATGGTGTTGAATATGCTCCTATTACAGGGATAGGTGACTATCAGCACTCCAGATGTTGCGGACTACATCTCCCATAATGCTCTTAGAGCCAAAATGCTGGAAAGGCATCAGGGGAAATGTAGTCCACATCATCTGGAGTGACATAGGTTGTATACCTCTGGTCTATTATATCGATCACAAAGGAGCATTTTGGATCTTTGCAAAGCCTATTCTAGTGGTGTCTTTAATAAAGACATACTGAACACTACGAAGACATAAAATGTATTTAGTTTAATAATTGAGTGAAGTCTGCCAGGTAAGTGACTAAATGCTGATTTCTTTATATAGCATGGTGAGAGCATTATAGTATATAAGTCCAAATATATATACCGTTCTTCAAACTACTGAGGGTTGATGTTCCAGGAGGGATAAGCCAAATGGCAAATGATTTAGGTAAACTAGAAAAATGGTCAGAGTTGTGCCAGCTGACATTTAATGTGGATAAGTGCAAGATAATGCATCTTGGATGTAAAAACCCAAGGGCAGAGTACAGAATATTTGATAGAGTCCTAACCTCAACAACTGAGGAAATGGATTTAGGGGTGATTATTTCTGATGATTTAAAGGTAGGCAGACAATGTAATAGAGCAGCAGGAAATGCTAGCAGAATAATCAGTTGTATAGGTAGCGGTATTAGCAGTAGAAAGAGGGAAGTGCTCATGCCATTGTACAGAACACTGGTGAGACCTTACTTGGAGTATTGTACGCAGTAGTGGAGATTGTATCTCCAGAAGTATATTGATACTTTAGAGAGAGTTCAGAGAAGGGCTACTAAACTGGTTCATGGATTGCAGGAAAGAACTTACCAGGAAAGGTTAAAGGATCTTAACATGTATAACTTGGAAGAAAGACGAGACGGGGGGGTATGATAGAAACATTTAAATACATAAAGGGAATTTACACAGTGAAGAAGAAGACTATTTAAAAGAAGAAAAACTACCACACCAAGAGGATATAGTTTTAAATTAGAGGGGCAAAGGTTTAAAAATAATATCAGGAAGTATTACTTTACTGAGAGGGTATTGGATGCATGGAATATCCTTCCAGCTGAAGTGGTAGAGGTTAACACAGTAAAGGAGTTTAAGCATGCGTGGGATAGCATAAGGCTATCCTAACTATAAGATAAGGCCAGGGACTAATGAAAGTGTTTAGACAATTGAGCAGACTATATGGGCTGAATGGTTCTTATCTGCCATCACATTCTATGTTTCTAATGACATACTGCCACCCAGTGATGTATTGGTCCTTTTAACAATATGGTAGACTGTTTTGAAAAGGTACAGAGTGAGCAGTAACTGGAATATGAGGTGTGACACCTAACAAAATAGCTCTGAGTATCAAAACACAGATTGATAACATTTTCTATATATCTACTTGTAATATATAATATGCACAGGTTCTATAAATCAGCAGTTTATATATTAGTACGAAGTACATTTTAATACCTGGGTTCAGTCACAAAACAGTGAATTGGTGTGAATTGAAAACCAAATCGCAAAATTAAGTTTAAAATGGTCCAACTGTGACTATAGTTGACTTGGAGAATTTTATTTCCAGATCAGCTATTTTAGTTCTACATTTTGCAAGTCTGTTTCCACTGCCCTATGATTCACTGTTCAGCGACTAGACCCCAGTCTGTTGAAATTAATATTGGGGAGTTTGGCTTTCACTAAACAGGAAAATATATTATGAAGTGGAAAAAAATTTGATTCTGTGATTTTTCCAGTTTGGCAAGACTGGCTTCAAATTTGTAGGCCTGCAGTCAATAGCAAATAAAACCTTGCATTGTATATAGCTTTAAATACAGCATTCCTGACAGAAAATGAAATTGTTCTCTCCTGTATTTAGAATTCTTACATCCTCAGTCCTACTCATTACATTTTACGTTGACTTATCTTATTGTGACTTTAACACATAGGGGCATATTCCCTAAATACAAGATTGTTGTAAACTAAACGGCAAAATTAAAAATGTAGTTAAAAATAGCTGTTATTGACACCATTTCACATAGAGTTATAGCTTGGCTATTTTAGTCCTAATTTAGCAGTTCAGTTTTCAAATCATCACCATATATTCCTTTGAATAAACTAATTAAACAATTCCTTGAGCTACTAGATGTGCAATGATATTTATTTTATATCCCGGAACTAAATAGCAACTCTGCTATACTGTCGAGGGCAAAACACAAGAGCATTTATTTTTTTTCAGATACAGCCTATTTGAATCAAAAACATAAGGGAAAATAATTAGGTACAGGGAACCCAGTGCCAAAATTCTCTAGGGCTTAGACATGTTTTACCTGATACGGTTCATATATCATCCACACTGGAAAATGCTACTACATACATAAGGGCATATATATACACACACACACACACACACACTCTGCATTAAAAAACTAATTTTGGAAAAAATAGCAGATTTTTTAAAACCAAATAGCTCAGCTATAATCGCAGCTTTGCTACTATAGCTTACGTTTCACAATTCAGTTTTAAATTCACTGTTTAGTGAATAAACTTAAAAGAAAATCAGGTTTGTAGATTAAAGTGTGGATTATCTGAAATACTAATTGAACAACAGGTCAAATTAGATAAACTAAAATCATAGCTGATCTGGTTAATTATTCTGCTATTTTGGCCTGTAATGAAAAAATTCACTTTGCTGACAATCCACACTTTAGTAAGTACATAATTCCATGTAAAAGTTATTCATTAAACCAGGAGAATAATCGAGAATACACATGAGAATTCTAATTTTTGTTAGAGAACATTTCCAACGTGTGGCTATTTCGACCTAACGTTAATATTCCGTTTTCAATCTACATTATTTCTCCAACTATCTTTTGCAAATGTATTCACTAAACTTGGAATCTAACAAATTGAATCTGAATGGCGTAACTGAGGTTAAAGTAGCTGTTTCAGTTATACAGGGTTATTCACTACAGTGAGAATTGTCTGGAATTCATAGTGATTTTAAAGCAAATTTCAAATTTAAGACAGAACTAGCCTAACAAAAAGCTTATGTGACTTGAGCATTCCTGCAGGTCAGCTATTTTGGTCTTAAATTTGAAATGAACTTTGAGTTCTCTTTGATTTCCAAACAATTTTTACTTTAATAAATGACCCTCATAGTCACGGAATCTGAATTTAGTGAATAACCCTCTGTTTCTAATATACACTTTTTTTTCCCACAAAAATGTAACTATATCTACCTCTAATCATACAACACCTAATTCCTACCAACCAGCTAATTAAATGTTCCAGTGTCACACCATTCATGATCATGTTGCCATTACAGCTGTATTTCAGAAGAATGCCATATACATATTTGAAACACTCCGCTTTACGATGCAGCTTAGAATTATTACACAGGAGGGAAAAGACAGATGGCAAAGGTCATAATTGTATCCGCTGTGGGAAACCAGTCCAAAATACCGCTTTCAACACCTTAACCACTATAGCAAGCCATGCTGTGATATGGAGTGTACTATTTTTATGTTATAAGAACAGAACAGCACCTCTTAAGTTACATTGTAACACACACACGCACACATACACACACACACACACACACACATATATATATATATATATATATATATATATATATACACATATACATATACATATATATATACACACACACACACACTGAAATTCCTTGCACTCAGGCTGCAAATAAACAATGTGGCCAGGTGCAATACCAGGGCTCCAACATCCAATCCAATTGTAGACGGCTGCACTCTCGGTCTTTCAATAAAAATTAACTTTTATTCCATAGTAATTAAAATCAGGATCAACATTTCAGTCCCACATAAGGACTTTCATCAGGATCATAGATATACCGGTATATATTGATGTATTTGTTAAGCGTATTGGTTGCTTAGGAAACCAAAAGGATCTCCTTTTGCAACTGGCAACTATATACAAAGCAACAATTCATAGATAATAACACAGACACGTTTAGACACACTTCTAATTGAAATGCTTTTCTTATATTTCAGTTCATGGCATCTATCAAAATTTAAGTTTATAAAGATTTAATATAAAACATAACAGGAGATATGAGATTTTATAGTTAGATATCAAAGTTAATAAGTGAATAGTGAGCTGGACAAGTATGTTATCAATAAGAATGTTAGTTCAGTTTTATACAAACTAAGATACATTTTGAAAACCATCTACCCTAATAAACACAGGACTTAAAAGTAAATTGATGCACCTGGATTGAAGCTCTGTAGCACTGGATCACATTAGCACTGTTATACTAGAAGGACATGCAATCCCAATCAATTGTGGTTTTGTATAGTTATCTGTCACCTAACTAGGAATACTTATACATGTATAGGTATGCAACATACTGCAGAGCAATAGAGTTTCTGGCTGTCCTGTCACCACAGACACCAACTGCTGGGCTGTCTAAAAATAGTGCTCAGTAAAAATCTCCATTCTCAATCACTGTCTTAGCACTTACCCAAGGGATACAATGTATCGTTTAATATATTCACAGGAATAGAAAGTTCTGCAGAACATACTGTATCTACTTCATTCTTGAAAAGTACAAAATCCTGAAATGCAGTCCTAATATACATGGGCATCATGCTGTTGGTGTGCAGGAGAATCAAAAATATTTACTAGTGTAAATAAAGCATGGGTGCCGGGTGGGTGCTTAAAGGCACAGTACACGTTTTTGCATTCTACTTACCCTCTGTGGGCATTGTGATGATAGTCTCAGTGGTTGCATGATAATCATCTTCTTCCAGAGATCCTTCACTGCTGTCATCACCTTGGACATCATACTGGTCTATCAGCTCTTCTAACGGTGGAGCTTTGGGCAAGCGATGCTTTATAGTAGCCTTGCTGATGCTGGGAGGCTGCTCCAGACGTAGTTTACTCAGGATCTGGAGTTTTATGGCTTCTAGTCTAGAAGACTTGTTGTTCTGTCTCCAGGTGCAGGCACTGCACAAGGTATCTTTGTCAGGAGCTGGATTGCTGTCATTCAAATCCACAGGGCTGAGTACTAGCAAGGTACAGAGGCAAAAAGTGCACAGACTTAATTTTATCATGTTCTCATTCAGTGACTATGTAATTATTTTATATTGGGATTTGGAGTTTTGGAGAGGTTTTTTTTTAGCTTTTGCAGTAGAATCTCTTTCAGCCCCAATGAGTTCTAGAAGAAATATGTTAAGAGAGCAGCTAGCAAATGCAATGTTAAATCATGTATTCTACATGTGTACTTTTATACTGCAACTTAAGTTACGCTTGTGTCCTCAGAACCAGCGATTGGCTGCCACACACACTCACACAATGAATCTCACTGGCAGCGAGATGGTCACGGTGAAAGAAGAGTATTTAATACAGCCCACTGGGACTTCATCATTCTGAACACATAAGCACAACTGCACTCTGTTGCTCAGGACAATTCCATTGTACTGACCTTACATGCAAAGCACAATCTGCAGGGGATCTAGGGTAACAGATATTATAGGGACTTATTTACTCAACAAGCAATGCTGGTGAATAGAAAACTGAATAAAAAAAAAACCTTAGAAAGAAAAAAAAAATTCTATCTATCTATCAGGGGTGCCCAAAAAGTAGAATCCCAGATGTTTTAGAACTACAGCTTCAATTATGTTTCTTTGACATTGTAAAAACATTCCAAAGGCATGCAAAGCAGCATGGGAGTTGTAGTTCCACAACATCTGGGAATCTACGTTTTGGGCACCCAAGATATATATAAAATAATATATATAAATAATATATGAGCTGGAAAGATTCTCCAAGTCAGCTATAGTTAAAGCAAATGTTGGAGTAAATGTTTTCACACTTTTTTCACAACACTATAATTTGAAGGGTTATTCACTAAATATTGAACTGTAGCAAAATGAAAATCAAATGGCAAACATAGCTGGGCTAGGAGGATCTACATTGTATAGGGGTTTATCATCTAAACAAAAAATGAACAGTGGATGGAAAACTGAATTGCAGAATTTTAAGTAAAAATAATATATACATCTGATTTGGGGGAAATAAACACTATCAACAGCTATAGTCACAGCTTGTCTATTGTAGAGTAATGTGTGCCACTCACAGGGATATTTACTAAAGTGAGAATTGGGGATTCAAAAACAATTCAAAGAGACTTTTGTATTTAAGTCCAAAATATATGTTTGGAAACATTCTCCTGGTCAGCAATGCTTCCAATACAGCTCTTTTTGTCTAAAATGTAAAATTAAATTTGACAGCAGATGGTGAGGAGCAGTTTTTATTTCACTCATTGCAAGGCTTGGAGGAAGTAATCCCAGATCACTTCCTTTCATGCTTGTGGAGGGGAATACATACTGGAGGAGAGCAGCTCGCAGCAGCCACCAAAGCCCCCGCCCTTAACCTGTACTTCAAGTTATTTAATGTGCATAGGGATTTGGGATAGTGCGCAAGTACTTGATTTTATTGTATATATTGGGGCTGTATTATTGTCACTGCTGCCGTCAGAGGCGTAACTAGAATCCGCCTGGCCCTGGTGCAAAAATTTCCCTGAGACCCTCCTCCATGATGTCTCATTCACTCACCATCGCCCCTCATTTATCTCATTCCCTCGACCCCAAAGCCCCTCCATGTGTCTCATTTCCCCTCCCCTCAAACCCAACCATGTTTCCCATTTCCCCTCCCCTCAAACCCAACCATGTTTCCCATACTCTCCTCCTTCCGAGCCCCCTCCATGTGTCCCATTTCTCCCACTCCCTGTTTCCCATTCCTACCTCTCCCACCCCTTCCCCTCCAGCTGTCCAATTTCTCCCTCTCTCCCCCCTCCCCTTCCTGTGTCTCATATTCTCCATCTCTCCCCCTCCCCCCTGTCCCATTCCTACTTCTCCCCCCCCTTATGTGTCCCATTGTTCCCTGTCTCTTCACTCCCCTCCAGGTGTCCCATTTCTCCATCTGTCTCCCCTCTCCTCGCGGTGTCCTATTCCTACCTCTCCATCTCCCCTCCATGTGTTCCACTGTTATCTCTCTCCTCCCTCCCCTCCCCGTGTCCCATTGTTACCTTTCCTCCCCTCCCCGTGTCCCATTCCTACCTTTCCTCCCCTCCACGTGTCCCATTCCTACCTTTCCTCCCCTCCACGTGTCCCATTCCTACCTCTCTCTCTCTCTCTCTTCCAGGACCAGAATTTCTCTGCCGTGGTTCCTGGCCTGACAGGAAGTGCTTTGTCAGTGAGCACTTCTGTCAGACCATTCAGCCATGCTACAAACAGGCAGGAGGGGAGCAGCACAGCACAGCTATCCCCTCCTGCCAGCATCGGGAACTGGGGACCCGGGGCGGTGCGGATGTGCACCAGCCTATAAGTTATCCAGGCAGCCCGCAGTCACACTGTCTGCCGTACAAGAGTAGTGGGAGTTTGAGCGCCGGACTTAATTCTGTATATTTGCATTTGCTTTTGTATTACACAGCAATGTTACAGTGCTACCGCCCACTCCATGTGTTCCCTATTAAGGGTTAGTAAGTATGAAAGAAGCCAGGTGAATTGTTAGCGTAGGATTTAACATGGCATGTGAGCTAACACTTAAATGGCCATGTATAGAAAACACATATACTTAATGCCCAGGTAAGTGAATGCTCATCATAACATGCTCTCGGTACCACCTAAAGGCGGGATGGGGGTATTAATTTAGCCAAACAACAAACCACAAATTGGTATGCAATACTAATTAAATTCGTGCACAATTACCTTACAATATAGATCATGCAAAAAAAAAAAAAAACCAACAAATAAAGTGCATAAGTCAGCTAATTATTCATACAATAATGGTACATAAATTAAATAAGTGCAAAAAATCACCCCCGGACGGTTTCATGTGAGGGCAGGTAGCTTATTGGAATCTGCCTTCAGTGTTGCACAACTTTTATTTCCTGAAGTATAATAAAGAATTTAAACCAACTGGTTGTGAATCTGCTATTGGATCCTGCGTTCACAAGGGGTTGATACACCCTGAGCCCTTCAATTTGGAGTGGTGCTACAACCACTCCATGCTTTCCCTTGAGATCATCGAATGGATAATGTGCAAGTATATTAGTTATGTTTGTTACCTGCTTTTTCCACTTAGTTAATCTACCATCATTGTATTAATAATTAGTGGTCACATCTGCACTTTAATTGGTTTTTATTTGAATGATATTGCACTGTTTTAATTTATATTGCACACCAATTTGGTGGTTGATTAATTGGTTATTAATGGCAAGAGATATATTGCTGGATAATTGTATTAATGTATGGGTTGTTTATTGGGGATCTGTTTATCAGTGTTTTTTTGTTTCTGCATGTATTACTTACAGTTAGATAATTGTATAGTTACTCTTGAACTTTAAAATTTTTTTTATTTTATTCATTCTTTGGTGATATTGAAAGCACTCAAGCTGAAGGGTTTTCATGCAATCTAACTGTGCACTAAATAAACCTTAAAACTAGGGACCAATACTAAATCAGACTTAGTAAGGCCGCAGTAAGTGAAGAAAGGCAGTCTTGTTAGATGAGTCAGGTAGAGGTCGCAGCATAGAAGACACGTGCGGACTGTCCAGAGGTGAACGTGATTGTATTCTCCGGGTTCCATCGGTGTGTTGCGCCCCCCTGTGGCCCAGCATATATCAGAGAGTCCTGAGAGAGGTTCAGTGTTGCCAACCGGGCCGACGCCTATTGAAGGTCATGGATCATGTGTTTGTCTTCGTCCTATAGGACCACCAGTGTGCTTGTTAATCGCTAGTGGTATTGTATGTCTTGCTTTCTAAGGAGGAATGTGAATGGCAGAAGTGAACTTCTCCATGCCAGGGTTTCTCCTGAGAGGTCCGCATAAAAGGTGGGTTTCATTTCTTCAAAATTATGTGGCGCGTGCTCCCTAATGGCAGCCAGAACTGAAGCCTTAGCACTGCCACTATGGAAATTAACCACCAGGACCCTGGGTACAGCGGCTGGTGCCCTAGACAACTTACGGTAGGTACACGGCAGGATATGTCCAGCCCCACTGTTTTGCTCTGTCTTGGGGAGAGTAGTGCCACTAGTAGGCGCCTAAGGAGATGCCGGATTTCCACAGCAGGGATGTTGTAAGGGTTAATATGAGACTGACTAAAATTCCAACACTGAAAGAGTTAATGTGAAACTGGCTATCATTCCGGTGTTGAAAGGATTAATGTACAAATCTGCCTTCTAGTTCTCTGTATGCCCCTACTGCCATTTCTTGTTTTTGATTAATGTACGTTGCAAGGACATTACATGCGTAGTTTTGCACCTGACCATGCCACTACGTCACATATATAGTCTTGGCACACGACCATCTTTGTATTATCTTTTTCTAAGAACCCCTACCATTGTACCCTCCTATTCTAAGAAGATCCCACATAGTAATGCCCCCTAGATACGTTTTACATAAATGATTTAATACGCTATATGCATGAGCTTGTTCATGACATTACTTAATAGCTGTCAATATTTTATTTGTAATTAATGATACTCCCCCTAGACTCCTTCATTGTGTGTTGTTACAAAACCTTGTTCTCTTTAATAAACAGACATTTTCCTGAACTGACACCCTTGTAAGTCCTTCAATGGAGTGTCTCGAAGTACTTAAAAAAGGTGTGGCAGTATTCGCCTGAGCGGCATCCGGACCCAAAGGTGTTGGCGCCAGAGGTTACTTAGCTGGTATATCATCCACCTCTGCCTCAGGTGACAGGTCATCTGAAAATTTGGACAAGGCCTTTGGATAGGCGCCATGCGCCTGCCGCAGTAATCCCCAGTATTTAAGTCCATTTGCGGCTTATCCAGTTTTTACTTTTTTTTTTATATTTTATTGAATAATTTGTTTACAATAATTAAAGCGACACTGTCATGCCGAACTTACCTTTCCCCAATCGATTCCTCTTCTCTCCCTCTCTCAGGATCTGTTCTTCATTTCTTCATGTTTTCTTCATGTTTCTCTAGTTTTCTTTAAAAATTAAGACAAAGTAGGGACTATTTCTCTTATGGAGGCTTCCATTGCCATGGCCAGCGGTGACCAGCGGAGGAGCAAAGTGTGCTTCATTTCCAGTGGTCAGAGCGATTTTTCCACAATCCTTAGCTTTCCTTCCTGTTCCCACGATGCTTCCTGTCAGTATTGCCGAACATCCTGTCACTTAGACAGAATGCCGGCAAAACTGCTGAATTGCGTCCTAACAGAACGAAAACAGTTTCTCCATTCGTGTTAGATTGCAATTCGGGAGTTTGTTAGGATCGCAATTTCATTCGAATGAATGAAACTTCGATCCTATTCATTGCGGCGGCTGCATCTTGCAGCTGCTTAGTAGATAACTCCCTAATTCCCACAGTATTAGGGAGCTATCAAAAGGCTCAAAGACTTAAATTGGTCTTTAAGCCACATTTACTAATACTAAGTAAAGATTACTTAGTATTAGTAAATTCTGCCCCTACTCGCTATACCGCGACTAGGGGCATGTCTAGTAAACAGTGAAAAAACAGTGAAAAAAAACCACACAAAATAAACTATTGCCCCCTCCACCCCTTAACGGCGGGTGGGGGCCCTAAAGTAAAATAAGGGGGGGGACCTATTGTCCTCCCCCCGGCCCCCACCCTTGCATGGCGGGTGGGGACCCTAAATAACAATGGGGGGACCTACTGTCCTCCCCCTGAGCCCCCACCCCTGAGCAGTGGGTGGGGGCCATAAAGATAATGAGGACCTACTGTCCTCCCCCCTGGCCCCCACCCCTGCATGGTGGGTGGGGGCCATAAATCACAATGGGGGGGACCTACTGTCCTCCCCGCCCCCACCTGCCGCTCATAAAGATACTGAGGGGGGACCTACTGTTCTCCCCACGGGCGGCAGGTGGGGGCCATAAAGATAATGGGGGGACCTACTGTCCTCCCCCCGCCCCAACCCCATGGCCGCGGGTGGGGGCCCTAAATAAAAATGTGGGGGGGACCTACTGTCCTCACCCCCGGCCCCCACCTCTGAGCGGCGGGTGGGGGCCCTAAATGAAAATCCCCCCCCCAATCATGGTGACTAGGGGTACCCAAGCCCCTAGTCACCCCCCACCCAAATAAAAAGTTACCCTCTACCTACCCCCCTCACCCTAAAAATAGTGAGGGGGGAATAAAATAACTAACCTGTAAAAAAAAAATTAAATTTACCATTTGACGTCTTCTTTTTTCTAAAATCTTAATTTTTCAGCCCCAGAAAAGGCCAAACAAAAAACCATCATACCCATCGAACTTAAAATAAAAAAACCCGAGCGCCCAAAAAAAAAAACCAGACGAAAAAGAAAAAAAACGACGCAAAAAAATAAGTAATCCATCTTCACCCATGGAGGGCTCCGCACAGACTGAGCTCTGCAGGGCGGGGGAAGGCTTATAAAGCCTTGCCCCGCCCTGCAATTAGGCTAAGAACCAGGGCCGAACTGGGGATTCCAAAGCCGCCCTGGAAAAAAAATAAATCTATGCCAGCCCCATAAGTCATTGCGCCATATATTGTCGCATGTATTATGTAAGGCTATGTCTTGCCACCCTAGATGATATATATATTGCTTTTGTCATTACATGACACAGACACACACACACACACACCGTGACACAGACACACATTACATGACACAGACACACACACAGACATGGGGAGCTCTGATGGCGGCCACATGGGGGAGCTGGCTCTTCTTGCGGCCACAGAGGAAGCTCTTCTGGTGACCGCAGGGGGAGCTGGCTGTTCTGTCTCTGCTCTCCCGCCCCAGCGCACTGTTTAATGAGACCGGGGCCGGAATATGACGTCATACTCCGGCCCCGGACTCATTAAGCAGTGCGCTGGGGCGGGGGAGCAGAGACAGAACAGCCAGCTCCCCCTGCGGTCACCAGAAGAGCTCCCTCTGAGGCCACAGGTCACCGAGCTGCCTACCTGGCCCCAGGTGCTGACGGCCCACCGGGAAATTTCCTGGTATCCCGGTGGGCCAGTCCGGCCCTGCTAAGAACACTCTGATTGGTTGGTTTAAGCCAATCGGAGTACTCTTTGTCATTTTACACCACATTCTTATTTAGGGCCCCACCTGCCGTTCAGTAGGTCTCCCCCCCCCCCACATTCTTATTTAGGACCCCCACCCACCGCTCAGGGGTGGGGGCCGGGGGGAGGACAGTAAGTGTGTCCCCCCACATTCTTATTTAGGGCCTCCACCCGCCCCACACAGGGGTGGGGGCCGGATAGTAGGGTTGTTTTTTTTAAACAGTGAGCAACCACAGGCTATACCGCAAGTAGGGGCATTCGGGATATTTGAATCTCCCTTATGCTATTATGGGGGTCATATCGACCCCCATAGAGTGAGGGTGGACATGGGGGATTAGGAAGTGGTGGGGAGCACTGCTCCCTGTCACTTCTATCTTTACATATTACAAGGAAGGAGGTAGCTCCCTCCTTGTAATAAACTGAACAAACAAACTAACACTGATAGTCAGTGTGACAGAACCATCGGTCTATGGATTACTTTTATTTTCCCTCCATTCGTCTGTTTGTTCGGCTATTTCCTTGTCTGTACGGTCCTCCTGTTATTCCCTTGTTTCTACCGAACAAACTACCGAAAGACCAGCCACCCAGCAGGGAAGTGTGCTGCTTGTTGACCTCTTGGCCCCATCAGAATGTTGAGGTTAACCACAGACACTTTAAAATATCAAGCGGAGACCGGGTGGTCGTCGTTCGTATGCCGACCACGAGGCAGCGGCCATCTTGACTATACGAATGATCAGCGGTGTTCGTCATTGAGTTCATGGAACTAAACATTGATAATATTTCTCCCGAACACCGCTGAAGCTGCCAACCTCCCTTCTTCTGACTTCCAACATACGAACACCGTTCCGTTCGGCGCTTTCTCCACGAATGGACTTACCACAGATAGCCATCTTAAGGAGCTCTTCGTATACCGAAAGACAATGTGAAAGACTTTGGCTCCATGGCGATTGAACTGTGGGTATAGGATCTGAGCGCCATTCGGTAATAATGTGCGCTCAGATCTAAGCTATCTGGGGATACGTTAATTGCATATAATCCATTCGGTAGTTTTCCTATTTTTATGTCTTTTTATTATCCCATGTAAAATGGCGTTTTGCCTCTATCCTGGGAGATAATTGGATTACTTCTCTCTATTCTGGGGATAATTGGGGAGGGTCTACCTGGTGTAAAGGGGAGTATTTATAGCCAAAGTGTGCTCATTGGCTACTGTATCACTTTTGTCCCAGTCTTCCATCTGGTCCCCTCGGGGAGTGTCCACCAGATGGGAGACCTGCATAAATACCGGGCAGGTAGCCCACATTAAAGCCAGATTCCTGTTTTACCCTCAATATGGAGCCTTGTCTCGCACTTGGGGAATTGCTACTGTGGATTATTCATTTACCTGTTCCAGGAGAGAAGGATTTCGTATGTTTCCAGTTCGAGTGTTTGTGAGTTGCTGCTCCCTTTGAAAGGTGAATCTCCCAAACGGTATTAACCCTTACTACACCGGGTTATACCGTAACATTCAGTGTTTGTTTGTTCATCTGACAATGCTATTCATTCGTCTTTCTGACGAACGAATGGATGAAATTCCCGTTCGCATGCCCAAGTGTTTCACTAGGCATGTGAGGGAATCTCAGCGCTGTCTAGTGTGGGTAGATGACGTGTCCCACAGGGACTTCATCTACCCACACAAAGATGGCGGCGCCCTGAATATAGATCGGGGCAGAAAATAAAGAGTCAGTTAGATGTATTGGAGTCGGGAAGGGGGTTAAAAAAAATAATAAAAAAAATAAGTGATTCAGCCATGAAAGTGCAACTTTAATTAACAAACAGAGACAATTATCCATTGTCCCTGCATTTCATTTATCTAAACATAATATTAGTGCGTGTATCCTATAACATTTAACAATACATACAACATAAAACAAAGACAAATTGTTAACAGTACTAATTTCAATTAACAAATTTGTGTGTTCCCTTTTACATTATTCTGAGTCGGGATATTCCCTATGACGGGAGCTGGCCAAACAAAGGAGGCATTCAGACTCCGTCTATAGTTGAAAGATCAAGGATCTTAATCCATTTGTCCCAAATTGTGTATCTATGAGGATTAATACAAAATTGAGAGGTAATGCCTCTTTCCATTTTACATTGGAATCTGATGGCTTTCTTAACGTGGGGCCAGGTATCTATTGTTGTCTTTTTCCAATTTCTAGCTATAGATATTTTGAAAGCCATCAATGCATGTATCAAAAAAATTTCTTCTCTTTTGATATTTGGGGTAATTTTAGATGTAACAACATTGTTTCAGGGGTCCAGAGGTATGTAATACCCAATAGTGTGTTAATTTCTAGTAAAATTCAGTCCCAAGCTCTCCTAATCGGGGTGCAATTCCACCACATGTGTATCTCATCTGCCCCTTCAACACTTCTGAGTATCAGGATTAGAGAATTTAACTAATTTGGCAGGGGTCAAGTACCACCTATTCAACAGTTTATACTGTGCCTCCATTATATCTAAACAGTGAGCCGAAGAGTATATTGATTGAAAAGCTGCATACCACTCTTTCATATCGATTTTAATATGTAAGTCCTTTTCCCATCTGTGCTTAGCAGGGGGGAGAATAGCAATTTTTATCATTATTATAATACCTACGCATTTAGTTAGTAACTTTGCAGATTTGTCATTTTTAATTAACTCATTTAATTTGGAAGCTGAAGATGTCAAATTCAGATAATATATGTAGCTATATAAAAAAAACTTTTTATTCTGATAAAAGGTAAAATTCTGTGTTGCAGAGAGAGATACATTCCGTAAGTCAGCAAAGGACATTATTTTTGTCTCTTTAACCCCTTCCCGACCGCTGACGTATCAGGTACGTCCCACAAAAAACGGTCCTTAAGTACCGCGGACGTACCTGATACGTCCTGGGGTAATTGGAGCTCTGGAAGCGATCATGATTGCTTCCAGCAGCTCTAATGGTATTGCAGCGATGCCTCAATGTTGAGGCATTGCTGCAATATCGGCTCACTGCCGGGGGCCACTGGAGACTGGCAGTGAGACAGAGTGTTACGCTACTTGGATGAATTTGGATTGGAACTCAACTGCAGCTTGTAAAACTCCCTAATTTCAATTGTGGAGAAATGGAGAATCTTTAAAGTATCAATAATGTAGCTTTAAGAAAAGAGAGAATCGCTGGTAACTTGATTCAAACAAAGTTTTAATAAGTGTTAAACTTAAATGAATTGCATTTAGGCAATAATCCAATAAGAAGAAGTGCAAGTAATCAAAAACACAAAGTTCATTATTAAGTATTTCCTCAGAGATGCATTAAGTAACATTCTTTAATTTCATGAGAATAATCTTCAATAGAAACAATAAGCAAGTAGCTAAGAATATTTGCAAAGCAAGAACAGTTCATAGTAAATAAGCATGATGGGAGTTGTCCTCCATATAATTAGTAGCTTGAAGCATGGAGTGTCTTTGCAAAGCAAGAAACAGTTCATAGTGATTAAACTTGATGGGAGTTGTCCTCCATATAATTAGTAGCTTGAAGCAATGAAGATTTGAATAAGCAAGCATTAGTTCATTAATAAATTATATTGTAGACAAATAGCTGAAAGTTATACTTAAGGTTAATATGTGTAGTCCTCCAATAGTTCAGAGATATGGTCCACTTGTAAAGTAGTGAGTTTCTGTTCTCCAGTAATCCTCTATGGCATGCAGCAATCCTTGCATTGGCTCAAAGGCTGGAACGGCTTGTCTGAGCTTGTGGAGAGATAAGTCTGGTGGAAGTAGCTCCCAGTAGCTGAGCCTGTAGAGCCCGCGGTCTCGCGGAGGCAGCTCACACACAATCACCAAGCCCCCTCGCTCTGGCCCAGTCTCCCTAAATACTGTCAGAGCTGTGTCAGAGTGTTACTCCATGACACAGAGCATCGGAAGCCTTCAGGCAGGCTTCCGATTCTCTGCCTGTACCGGGTGCCTCGAGGGGTCAAGGCACTCAGTAAATAGTAAAATAAATAAATAAATAAATAAATAAAAAAATTAATTAAATAAAAAAAAACGAACCCCTACCCACCCACCCACCCTCATATACTTACCGATCGTTGCGTTCCCCTGCCAGCGATCGGTCGTCTTCTTTGGGGGGACTCTCTGGACTGAGCCCAGAGAGTCCCCCCTCTGCAAAAAAGGACCCCCTGGGGCCATGTGACCGCTCACCATAGGCAGGGCCGGCGCTTCCTATAAGGCGAACTAGGCAGCCGCCTAGGGCGCCATATAGGAGGGGGCGCCCTGCGCCCCCATCGCCGGCCCTTTAAATGCCACAGCCGCCTGAGTGCTAGAGCGCTCAGGCGGCTGTGGCATTTAAAGGGAGAGGAGAAGATGATTGATGGGAGGGGAGGGGAGATAATTGATGGGAGGGGGAGGAGATAATTGATGGGGGGGAGATGATTGATGTGAGGGAGGGGAGGAGATAATTGATGGGGGGAGGATAATTGATGGGAGGGAGATGATGGGAGGGAGGGGAGATGGATGATGGGGGTAGATGATGGGAGGGAGGGGGGAGAGATGATTGATGGGAGGGGTGGGAGATGATTGATGGGAGGGGTGGGAGATGATTGATGGGAGGGAGATGATTGATGGGAGGGGTGGGAGATGATTGATGGGAGGGAGGGGGTTACATTTATTGAAACTCCACTTTAGCCAGCTCAAACTTGAAGGGCAATTTCTAAACTGTGACTGTGCCTTCATTTTTAATACTTCAGAGACATACTATGCATTAAAATGTAGGTATGGGTCTTGTGATTCTCACAATATAAAGCTCTTCACTGTAGGATGTATAGTTTTTAAAATACGACCATTTGAAGATGGCAACCGCCAAAATACTCTGACCTGTGCCAGGCTGGAGCAGCAAGTGATGACATAGACAGGGCCTTTTGTACACCCGCTAATGTTTTTATAAATGTATGTTTTTTTTTATTTTTTATAATTCTTTATTTTTGTAGTGCATACGTTTAGTACAGTTGCGCATGGGGTACCCCAAAGGCAATTCACCAGTGCATTGTCAACGTTTAAACAAAGAGGTACATGTGTAGTCTAGCACATTTTTATAACATTAAAGTATATTATGAACATTAACGATTTTCAATGTTTAGGCATATACATAACATAGCGTGACCTCGCTTCACTTCTAATCATGAAATTAAGATGCTGTGACAAGAGCTATGTTAAAGTTAAGTAAATAACCACTGGGGTTTGCGGTGTACAAGAGTAACTTCACTTGAGTATGTGAAAATATGGCAGGGGGCCTTATTCTTCATGGGGTACAGCAAGGATTAGCCGATCACCGTCTGGGCGTATTATTGTAGTGGCTAGGTGTGCTCTAGACGAAGATAAAGAAAGAAATGAAAAATAAATGAAAAGTCAGTGTGAACCCCTTCAGGCCTGTGCTAGCGTGGCCATGGCGTGATCTGGTCACATGGAGCGCCACCCGGAATTGCTGGGCTTGGCTCTCGTGGGGTTGTGCAGAGAATGGTTCAGCCAATGCCTAGTGTTGGGAAGTCCAGGTCAGTGCCAATATGAGTCCATGCTTTGGGGTCTCCGGGTGTGATGTCTCCATACCGGGAGTCAGCTCCAGTGGTGCCTTGAGGGGGGAGCAGTCGCTCCAACCTTTGTTTTGTGGCGTCGCCCACAGGAATCCGGATCATGCTGCACTGCATAGTATTGGTCGGGTCTGGAGGGTTCCCTGCGTGTGCCTTTTGTGGCATGGTCGTGGGTTTATGTGGTGGAGAGCAGTGGAGTGTTCTTGCGAGGCCCAGCGCCCCTCCCCGCCTTGGAGACCGCCAGTACCTGCATTGCCTGATGGTCGCTTTGGAGGCTCTGGGTGGGCGCCTGTACTGGCTGCGTCGCGCTGCTGGTCGGATCCATGCGGCAACCATTAGTTCTGCTTGGCGGTAGGTAGCCCCTCGGCTGTGCAGCGCCTCCCAGAATGTGTTGCATAGCCAGTCGAAAGTCCCTTTTGGCGGTGTGGGTGGCTCATTATGTGCTCCCCTCTCATGGTGTCTGCACTGGGCCGCCATATTGGAGGTATCTTGGTGGCCTGTTGCCCTTGCATAGCGTGAGGTGAACTCTTCCGTTTTTCGTTGCTTCCAGTGGGGACCGGGATATCCCCCGCCGGTCCATAGGAGCTGTATGAGCGTTGCTCGGGGCACCCGGTGCGGTCCGCCTCCCCCCGGCTCCAGCCCCAGTAGGCCTTAGGCCGATCTCCGCTTTCCCGGCTCCGACAGGTCCCGGGGTTGTAGCCATCGATTCAGCGGTGCACCCCCGACGTGTGTGGTGCACCTTCAAAGGACCTTGGGCCATATAGCCTCCGCTTTTCCCCATTTGCGGCCCGTTTGTCGGGAGCTCGTGGCAGGCACGTCTGCACGGCTCAGTGTCCAGGCTCCGCCCCCCATAAATGTATGTTTTAATGTAACTGTGAAGCACTTTGGGCAACAACGTTGCAATTAAATGTGCTATATAAATAAATAATAAGTTACTCCGCCCACTCCAGTTGTAGACTACTGGTGGAGGCAAGAACAATTCACACAAATTCCCCAGAAATTGTAGCTTTTCTAGTTCTTATACTTATTATAGCCAAATTTACCACCCTAACTACTCCCACAGTTTTTACACTACATAGACAGTAATATACCGAAATGTGCGGATTGTTCCCGATTGGATTGCTTTTACTTTGTGGAACGATTCGCCGAATGGTTCACGGAATATCGTCGTTCTTGTGGCAAAATTGGTCCCATAGGAATGAATGGCGGAATGTTCAAAACTAGAGTGGGAGCTGACAAAAGCTAGAATGTGAGCTGAAAAAGCAGGACATGATTTCTAAACTGCCACCACTCTCTCATTTTCAAGCCCACCTACACAAATCTTATATCAAAACGTTCAGCTATCCCTGCTGCCACTAAAAATATCCACGGCTAAGCCATAGTCCTGATAGTTTTCACAATACGACCATTTGTTTGCAACTCACGCTGTCCATTGACATTCATTGAAACTTCACTCTAACCACCTCAAATTTGAAGGGCAATTTCTCAACTGTGACTGTGCTTTAATTTTTAATATTTCAGAGACATACTATGCATCAAAATGTAGGTCTGGGTCTTGTGATTCTCACAATATAAAACTATTTGCTGTAGGATTTATAGTTTTTAAAACTACAACCGTTTGAAGATGGCAACTGCCAGTGAAGTGAGCAATTTGGAGCAGTTTGTTTTTAACCGCTCTTCTCTGCCCTATTTGAAATCTAATTTTGAATTCGTGACAGATTGGCCGGCTTCTGGTTAAAGGTTTGAACGGCAGAATGTTCAAAACTAGAGTGTGAGCTGACAAAAGCTAGAGTGTGAGTTGAAAAATCATGTATGTACGTAGTGGGGAATTTTCCGATGCTACCTTTTTTAACCCCATTAAACCCTCCTAATAACGACAGACAACTTAGTATGGATGAAACAGGCCACAGCATTTATTATAACATAAATAAATACTGCATAACACATCCATAACTTTATTTATTCAAAATCTTCTTTCTGTAACCAAAATTGTTAAACATAAATAAGCATAAATTAATATATATATAACACAACACACAGTGTTAGACAGTAACCCAGCCGTCCTTACCAATAAACATACCGTGGTTCCTAATCACCACTTCCTCTCACCTCCACCCTCGTCATAAATCATATCATTCCAATGCCCGACATCAGCCGACCTTATCCACGCTCAATGGGCACGATACCTCAGGCAACCTAAAGTTAACCGTTTAAAGCAGGGGAGGTTGAGACTTGCCAATTTATTAATTCACTCCAACCATAAAACATAACCCCACAAACTTAATTGGCAAGGACATACCCCCGCCACCAGCCCCGCTGTTTTACCCCCTAAAAATCAGTGGGACACCCCACCAAAACCACGCATGGCCTATTCCACCGCATCCTGCAGGGTGAGATTGAAATGGTGAGGTGAACACCATCCGCCCTAAAAAAATTGTCTGCCTCACGTTCAAAAACCCTGTGGCGGACCGGGATCCCCCGAACCCCTAAAACAAACTGGGAAACCCGTATGTTTAACATGCGGCGGCACCGCTCCATAGCACTCTGGCTCTGGGCACCCCGCCAGTAGTTACGTGCAAAGACCTCAGACCATACCAACCACACATTGGGGAACAAAACTAAAATGTGGGCTAAATCCCGCTTGACAGCCGAAATCAAGTCCAAAATGTGAACGGAACCCAGGTCATTCCCCCCCAAGATGGATCACCAGGACACTCGGTACCCCCAGGAGACAGGACAGCTGCACCAACTCCGGGAGTAGCCGAACCCACCTCATACCTCTCGAACCAAGCCATCTGACCTCGGCGTCGGAAGGCGTGAAACCCAACCGCTCGCCTCCAGGCCGATTCGCAGCACGCTGCCCAGCCCAGTAGACATGAGTGTCCGATGATCCAGATCCTGAGGGGGACCGAATCTGCGGAAAGAAATTATGTCAATAGACCAGCCGGACGAATATAAGAAACATGGCGCCTCGAATCCCACCTCCCAATCCTCTGCACCACCTGCGCTGGCATGCCAAGCCTCGAGGCCTCAGTGGCCGCCCCAATACGAAAAGAATGCCCCCCGAACTACTTGCTGTCCAAACCCAGGGATTCCAAACCCAAACGAAACACCCTGAGAAACTGGAAATGGGAAAGAAAGCTAGGGGCAACACAGGATAGGGGCGCAAGGTACAATACTCCCTGAAGGACAAAACGCCAGAGCCCGGCACCGCCCTCAGTCTAACTCATTTACCTCTCCCCAAGACATCCATCTTTGAGCGGCGAATCTTGAAAGCGATCTGCACCACAGAGCAAGAAACGTCCCCGAATAGCACCCTCCCTACCTGCCGCCAACTGAGGCACACCAGCTCCCCAATCTGCATGGCCCCAAAGAACGCCAGGGAGAAAGCCAAGCGAAAGAGCCAAGACTCGAATTCCGAATGGCAAACCCCGGGCAACGCATCACTCAGCGTAAGAAGGAGAGAGCCCGAGACAGGCCGCCTCGAGTCCCGGAAAGACACCCTTCCCTCGCTTCAAACCTTTTAGCGCCTGGCTGTTCACAACCCCGCAACTTGAACAGCAAGCTTAGCCCTGCCAAGCGTGCAGCAATGAGGGGGACAACCCCACAGCGTCCCAGTCACCCAGGAGGAGCACCAGCCGCTGCAGGCGAGCAGCAGAGTCCCGGAAGCCCCCATGGAACAGTTCCCACCTGTCCCATGCCCTCCTCACCTGGTTATAGCAGGTCCATGTGGCAGCTGCCACTGATCCCCGGACCAACTCCATCAGTCTGCCAGACCCAACGACCACATCCCCGGAGGGCATCGGACACCCTCCAAGTCTGCTGACACCCTCCAAGTCTGCTTGCGGGGCTACATCCCGAAACACGTCTCACTGTGAACGAGAGAGAGCGTCGGCCATTACATTGCAAACCCCCGGGATGTCCACAACCCTACAAGACACATGCTCCAAACAGCGAAGAAACAAGTGCCGTAACAAGTGTACCATGGTGGGAAGGAGGCGGTCAGCTGGTTAACAGCCTGCACCACCCCCAAATTGTCGCAATGGAAAACCACCCATCTGTCCTTCAGCAGGGCGCCTCACACCTCCAAAGCCACCAGAATAGGCAAGAGCTCCAGAAAAGCCAAGTTCAGAGTTAGCTCTGTCATATGCCAGGCCTCCAGCCACGAGTCCGCACACCACTTTGAGCCCAGAATGGCCCCAAACCCCACCGAGCCAGTCGCATCGGTAAACAAGTGGCGGTCCGCATTAGAGACCTCCGGGGCTTGCCAATATGACCTCCCATTAGACGAAGCCAGAAAGGAATCCCAGATGGCCAAATCAGCCCGCAAAGGTCGTGTGAGCCGGATGAAGTGCTGAGGGCGAACGACCCCAGACGTCGCCGCCGCCAAGCGCCTGTTAAAGATATGCCCCATGGGCAAAATCCGACAGGCAAAATTTAACTTCCCCAGCAGAGACTGCCGGCAGCTCAGCTGGATCTTCCGCCGCCCCATGGCCCGTGACACCACTTAGCGCAGGTCCAGGACCTTCTCCTGGGGCAACCGACATTCCCCAGCCACCGAATCAATTTCGATGCCCAAGAAACTAAGGCACGTGACCGGACCCACCATTTTGTCGTGGGCCAGCAGAACCCCGAACCGTTGGAACACGTCCCCACGGACTCTCAGCAGTTTGGCACAGATGTGCGACTCTGCAGGCCCTACACTCAAGAAATCATCCAAGTAATGCAGAAGGGAAGCGCCCCCGGTCTCCCTTCGCATGACCCAGTCTAGAAAAGAGCTAAAGCACTCAAAATAAAAAGAGGGCAACCCATAGACAGGCACATATCCACAAAGAACTGTCCTTCGAAAGTACAGCCCAGCAGATGGTGGTATTCCGGATGCACCGGGAGCAGCCGAAATGCGGATGCCACATCCGCCTTCGCAAGCAACGCCCCAGGGCCAGCGGCCCATCCCATGTGCACCGCCGCATCTAAGAATGCGTAGGAAACCCTGCAAAGCTCCGAGATGTCATCGTTCACCACCTCCCCCCCCCCCCACGAGGGTACGATAAGTGATGAATCAGGCGATACTTATCGGGCACCTTCTTGGGCACGACGCCCAACGGAGAAACCCGCAAATTAGGCAAGAGTGGGGAGGAAAATGGGCCAGCCATCCAGACCAGGGAGACCTCCTTACCCAGTTTATCCCGTACCACCTGCGGGTAATCCCGTCCGGACTTAAGGTTCCGAACAGAGTGCCGTGGAGAGCGCTCCGAGAAAGGGATCCAAAACCCATTCAACAGGAGCCGTGCCGCAGCCCAGTTCCTATAAAGGTAGAGCCACAGACGCATTGCGTTTACGAGCACCGGGGTCGTCGATCTTAGGCCCCATATCCCCCCTTTCGCCCGTTTTGCCTCGCTTGAAAAAACGAGAGGCAGAATGCGCTCCCTCGCACCAGAGCGTTTGTGCTTGCACCGGCACGAGGAACCCCACTTGCAGTGGCTGTCGTTGAATTTCCAACAACAACCCAGCCTCTGAGTGAGGGCCGATGGGGACGCGGAGGAGCCCCCACTGGCCCCCCAAGAAAGGACGAAAAGGCACCTTGGTGTGGGGCTGGACGGGTCATAATGGCAAGCCAGAGGCCAATGTCCATCTGATCCCATGACAGCGATGGGCGTACCGCCAATCGTTGACAAAACTGTTCGTCGTACCTCCACCACCCCAGCCCCCCATAAGTCCTGCAGGCATTCCAAATCGTGTCCTGATACCAGAACCAGGCCGAGCACTTGTGTGGAGACTTCTCACCCACTACACTGGCCAGAATAGAGAAGGCCCAACCCAATTCCCAAAATTTTTGGGAATCTTTTGGTAACAAAATTTCTCCTTATCCGACTCCTCGCTGTCTTTCTCCGCCACAGGAGGGGCATCCTCCAGCGTCAGGAGAGAGAAAATCTCAACGAACTCCCCCTCCAAATCTTGTCCCTTGTTTCAAGGGGAGACCTAGAGGGCTCGACCAGCACATATATGCTGCGCCACGGGCCACATCCGCAACCCCAGCCTCGGGTGAACCGCGGGTCCTAGGGAGGGTGAACCCCCCACCCTCAACTATAAGGGGGGCAGATGGGGAAGGAGACTGAACTGCTGGGGGGAGCACCACGGGGGACCAAACTGACCGCAGCTGACTGTAAAGAGGTGTCCCTACTACCCACCACCCCCTACTCCCAGTGATCCAAAAAACAAAAAAAACAAAGACCTGAAAGGAACCCCCCCAGCCCAAGCCCCGAAGCATTAAGAGAAGAGGGAAAACAGTACTCACCAGTCGCAGTTTGGCGACCCGAACCCAGAACTGCACGCAAAGAAGGCTGAGGAACCAAAAGTTGAGATCCAGCATCCACAGAAGGCATCTGTTATGTTCCATTCGCCATCTGCTGGACAGAGCCACGAACTGCCACCAGGTCCTGAGGAGAGCCCCATATGTGATCCAGGTGCCACTTGCTGGACGGAGCCATGAACTGCAGACAGGACCTGAGAAGAAAGCGGTGGAGAAGCTGAGAGCCCACGCCCTGGAGGAGGTAGCGGAGGTAAGTGAACTGCAGGGGGCCCAGACAAGGTAGAGGTAAGGGGAGAGAACAGAGAGGGGACTAGACAGAGTGGGACAGGGAACTAGAAAGGGGGGTAATAGCAGAGAGGGAAAGGAGGGGAGGGCACAGAAGGAGATAGAGACACAGGGGGCCCAGCCAGAGACAAGCTGGGCCCCCCCAAGAGACCCCACAGCGGGAGACAGGGGAAAGGGGGAGGGAACAGGGGAACCCGCATACCGGGACCCTTCCTCACTGGCAGAGGAGGCTCCCGACCCACAGGGGGACCACCCCACCCCCCAGATGACGGTACCAGGGTACCCCGCGCAGCCACACTCACCACTGATGATCTAGAAGCACCATCCACACCCCGCCGACCACGGGGGAACGGGAACGATGCCGGGCGGCCGCTCGCATGGATCTGTCGGCCTCCTTCTGCCCCCAGCCCGAGGACCACCACTGGCGGCCGGGGCGGGATGCAGGGAGGCCGGCTGGGGCATGGAAGCCCGCCATGCAGGTCGTGCACAAGGCCTCCGGGACGCAGGCCACACGGCAGGGGGAGACCTCACCTCAGGCCTCCCAGTAGTAGGCTGCTGCGGAAGGCCGCGAATCCCGGCCTCTAGTAGCAGGCCACGTGTCTGGAGCCCCAGACACGCAGTCCTGTCGGTGCCTTGGGCCCGGGCTCCCAGTCCTCAGCTGGGCCCGAGGAGTATTAGCAGGGGAGAGCCTGGCAGGTGGGCAGGAACACCTGCCATTGCTGGTGCGGCTCCCGGGGCAGCAGGGGAGACCGCAGGGGGTGCTCCAGGGGCTGGTATGCCGCGG